AGAGGCACTCGCCAATTCTTGGCTTGAGGTCCCCTTAGGATTTCACTGTCCCCAAACCCGGTGACGCTGTAAAGGTCATCTGCGACCAACAGCATACACACCCAAAAAAAAGCCTACCAGGAGCCTGTCTCATAGTTCATGTCAACGTTTGAAAACAACACAGAAAATGTAGTTTTTTTTTTAATTTATTCTATTTTTAACGCCCCTTTGTATTTAAGTGTGGATGTAACTCTACATAAATACCACATTTATGTGTCGGTATTGCTTTTTGGAACCAATTCCCATACATTTACCCAAGTTTCTTAAAAAAAGTCATTGCTGTCGGGGAACTTTCTACTGAACACTGTTTTATCCAAGAAGAGTCAAAGAAGACCTTTGTGAACTCTTTCAGCTCGTTCTTTGGCGAGCCAGCGTGTTTTTTGGCTTCCATCACATGGCAACTTTTACTAATGCTGCAACATATAATAGTTTGTGGGACACAAAACCGCACAGCAAGTTACAGTTGAACGAGCTCATTTTCATAAGTAATCCTCATTGTCATGAGCTCGTTCATGACAATAGGTGTTAGAAGTATGTGAATTTAAGTTTTTTAAATGCTTAATCAATATATTAGGAGGTTGATGAAGTTTTAAAAAAGTTTTTGGTTAAGAGAACTTCCAATTTATTGTGTCAAAAAAGAAAATTTTTTTTCTTCTATTTTTATAAGTGTTTTTTCCTATTATGTTTGACTTCGCTATGAAACAATAACTTGTCAAGTGAATTCGTAGTGAGGCAACCTGCCCCCGTAGCATGAGCACCACAAATTTCATTATATCACGTTTGACATATCACAAAACGTTTAATCGCGTCTAACTGTCAAACTCCATTTTAATTTGACAATTGAGCGTGATAAAAACGCGCTAAATATCATATTGCGGTGCTTGTGCTAGGGGGCTGTATGCGTATTCGCTTACTGCTTTTGACAGATGGAAGTGATAATACTGATAATCACCAGCGCTTATCAGCGGTCGTCGGCGCTGGTACTTGCCGGTAACCGGCGCAAGCATTTCTATGGACCAGCGCCGATAAGCGCCGACAGGTGCCGACCGGTCAGCGCTGCCACCGCCCTTTGAAATTAATGAACGACGGCGCTTCAATCTGCTACCTTTATGTAACTGTTACCAGTAAGGACCAGCACCGACAAGCACTGGTCGGCTTTCACCTTTCTTTCTGTATACGGTCTAAATGTCAGAAGTTAGGCCGTATACAGAAACAAAAGCTGGAAGCCGACAACCGCTGATAAGCGCTGGTCCTTACCGGTAACCAGCGCAAGCTTTCTATGGACCAGCGCCGATAAGCGCCGACAAGCGCTGCCAAGCGTTTCCAGCTTTCTTTGTGTATACGGCCTTATAGAATAGGCCGGCTGTAGGTTAGTGATTAAAGATACCCATGGACATCTTTAACACGAGCACTACACAGGAATAGTGGAATGTATGTGTAGTATACCTACAACAGAGAGACAAAAAGAAAGTCACATAAAATCATCTATTTATTTGCAGCGACACGTAGATGAGACAGTAATTTTTTAATTAGGTTAATTTTTATTAACGGCTTTGTCTTATCCAATTTTTATCGCGAAAATGTGACAACCTGAAACTCAAAAGTTAATTGTCGTAGTTTTATTGTTATTTTAAGCTTATTTTAACTCGATTATTTTGCTAGATTTATAAAACTAGTTAAAATTTTACAAAAAATAATTTAGTAACCGTTATTTTTTGTAAAAATTTAACTTTAATTCACCGAGTTGCACTACACTACTTTGAGTTATAGGTAGGTCCGCTAGAATAAAACGGTTTACTTTTAGACTATTTTAACAACTGTTTTTCTTATTCAATATTTCGCTTTTATAGCATTTTATTTTCATGGCCTTCTTATTTACATGTAAAAAAACCCATAAAAATCTCCAAATTATAATGGACAACAAAAGGAAAATGACATAAGCACTCCAAAGATTTAAATCGTTTAAATTTTTGAAGCACACACAGATATGTCTCAGTGGACCGGAAAGATGTTGACCTTCCCGATAAAAAAAAATCTTAGACCATGACTGTAGCGCTTCTTAAATAAATTGGGAAGAGTTGTAAGATGAGTCAAGATTTCTTTAAATTTTCAATTTTTCTATGCAATCTATGGAATGCTATGCTATATAACTTCTAAGTACAGAATCTAAGACAACATATAAAAAATGGAAAATTAGTCAAGTCTTTCTTAAGTTAAGGCCTGACTATGGAAGATAGGGATTCATTTTAATAAGTCCCCGCCTGCGACTTCGCCCGCGTCAATTTTGGTTTTTTGAGAATCCCTCAGGAAACTAACACTTATCCGAGATGAAAAGTAGCCTATGTCTCAATTCAGGTCACAAACTATATTCGTACCAAATTTTATTAAAATCCGTTCAGTAGTTTTTGCGTGATTGAGCAACAAACATACAAATATACAAACATTCACATAATTTTAGTAGATGTAGCTAGAATCTAATAACTATAAGACATAAAAAATAACCATGATGCCACGAAATATAAGTGAGCGCTGTTCAACTACTTAAGTTGTATCAAAATCCGGTTATGTGTTGTTTCTCTTCATAAAATATAAAAAGCATTATTTGCATACTTTAAACATTAAATTAAATAACAATGACGATCAATTTATTTGGAAGCTTCTATAGCTTCTTAAAAAAGAATAGAAGCGAAAAATCTAGAATTGATCCTTATTTTTGGAAAATAATATTTAAAACTAAATATACTTAGAAGAGCAAGGCCAACATTCGGTTAAATGTCTATTTTTATAGTCAGGGTTGTAATAAAATTATAAAATTTTGAACACTATCGCACTTTTAATAGGGACGATGACTATTTTTTTTACATTTTTAAAAAGTATTTAAAACTTTTTTTTTCTTCATTTACATAATCATAACATTATAGATTTTAGTCATCAGTCACGTTCTTTCGTTCGGGATCCACTTAAGGTTGAATATTGGACAGCAATAGGACATCAAAGAGCGAATGTTTTGACCGAATATGTTGCTATGACAACGTCATATGCACTATTTATATAATGTCAGTAGAGACAACAGACAACGGCTAACTAGAGCCGAGGTCCGAGTCCCAGAGACCATCTCTAGTTGCGCCGACCCCCTCAGGTTCGAGTGGTCTAGAGGCTCCAGACGGACAGGAGACCCCCCGTGGGGATATACCATCCGCCTGCAATATCTCTAGAGGCACTCGCCAATTCTCGGCTTGAGGTCCCCTTAGGATCTCGCCGTCCCCAAGCCCGGTGACGCTGTAAAGGTCATCTGCGACCAACAGCACATTACATACTCAAAAAAAAAGGATTGAAACTGCTCATTCTACGCGCCGACCTTACGGATCCGAGTAGCATACGGAAATTCCTGATCAATCAACTTATTATTTAACTTGCCCACTGTTATTTCTGATAATGTTAATTGGTATCGTTTATAAAAAATAATTTATCATTTGTCTAATAAAAGAAATAAAGTTAAATAATTTGTCAAAAGCTAGAATCTCCCGGAATAAGGTGTAATTGTGATCTCCCCCTTTTTTAGTCAGTAAAAAATCTTTACTAGACTAGTCATCAATTACGTTATATCATCAGTCAAGATCACCATTTTACATCGTAAATTATGCTCCAGATAATTGGTGTGATCTTTTTTAACGTAAAATCTCGTTTCATATTGAATTAGCGATATTTCTGATTTTTTATAACAAACACGTAGATCTAAAGCTTTAAATCATTTAAAAAAATTGTCAGTTTAAAAAGCAAGGACCTGTTTTGGACGAGTATGCTGACCCGGCGAACTTTTTACGGCCACTTTTGGTTGATTTTTTTAAACATTCTTTAGCCCTGACAACAATGAAGAAAATTATAAAAAAAAATAAGTATCCGATTTGTTGCAGTCTTTCCAAAGTTTCGGCGATTCACTTTTATTAATAACATAGAATGAAGTCTCGTTAAAAATATGTAATTATACTTAATAACTAAAGTTCCTAAATACATATAATTGACGACCTCCGTGGCCGAGTGGTTTGTACGCCGGGTTTCATGGCGTCGCCGACTCGAGAGGTACCGGGTTCGAATCACGGTGGGGGTAGATGTTTGTGTGATGAACACGAGCATTTGTACTCCAGTCATGGATGTTTAATATGTATTTCTATATAAATACTAGCTGACCCAGCGAACTTCGTACCGCCCTAAAAAAATAGGGGTTGTCCAGCGGACAAAATTGTGAATCTAAACCATTCTCAGATCCCCTTGAACACACACAAAAAATTTCATCAAAATCGGTCCAGTCGTTTAAGAGAAGTTCAGTGACATACACACTCACAGAAGAATTATATATATAAAGATACTTATATATGTAAAGTATATGTATTCTATCCGTTACCCTAGTATCCCATAACACAAGCCTTATAGTGCTTACTTTGGGGCTAGGCTAATTGATGTTAAAAAAAATATATATATAATCGCATATTTTTCTATGCTTTACACTTATCGATAGCTGAAACGAATATGGAAAACAACGGAAGAAAACAAAAGGCTGGGCGAAGGTTAACTGATATTAGAATTTTACCTATTGATAATTTGTTAGCAAACCATGTGTAAACATATTGAAATTATTGAGAGAAAGTTAAAATTAAAAATATTTATGAAAAAAAAAGGAAATAGAGATATAATATGTGTACACATTATGCATAACTGTAATGTATTAACAAAAATCGTATAGTTCATTGATTCTTTGGCATTTAAATCATTGGTTATTATTAACCAATGTCTTGCGTTAAGGACTATTTTTTCCCTAGTATATAAATATTAATAATACCTAAGTATATATATAATTTATTCTACCACTAAAGTTTTTCCGTTCGAGAAATACCGACTGATCTTCAGGCTTTATATGTACAGCTAATAAAAATAATGAAATTGATAAATAAAAATCAACTAACCTTTATCCTAGAGTATTCCTGGGAAGCGGCATTGCTTACACACTAACCAATATTATTTGTACTATCTTACTATAGATCGTCATTTTTTTGTATTGTTTTTTATTTTCTAAAATAAAAAAAAATGGTACAGTTTTGAAGGATTAACACTGATGATGACAAACAATCACGTTGAATTTGGAATATCTTATAGTATTGTTTTTTTAATTATTCGGTACTGAGTTCGTTCGCCTTTATTGTTGTACAGCCAGCGGCACGGCCAAGTACGCGTTCGTTCCGATACGCGGCTACTTCGCTACTCGTGTATTTTACTCACGCAGCGGAACAACATTTTCTTTTCATTGACGAGTGGATACAGCAGCCACTCACCTTGATTTTCCAGGACGCCGGCAAAATTCAGGTCGATTTGATTTATTTACATAACGAACCGACATAAGATGCTTGTATTTAGCACGTAACAACGAAGTACTCGAACTAAACTAGAGGTTCATTATTTTAGCTTACTTGTAACTAATTTAAGTGATTTATTGCAATGTTGACAGTTGAAAACTTTTATACATAACTTAAAATCAATTAGAGAACATCCAGTTTTGATCCTGCTATAAGATTTAAAGTTCATACATTTTCAAGAGAGAATGAAATATGTATAAGATTTACAAAGACGCTGCATAAAGTATGCTGCAATTGTTACAAATCAAATCGTTTATTTTTTAAGTTACATGGTACGGAGTTTCATGCAAACAGAAGTTTGGTTAGTTGCACACCAATATTTACAGTGCTTTTGACATATGATACGGTATCAGCGCGTTGATGTCTTTTGATACTAAAGGTATGAGCGCACGCTTTTTAGTCATAAATTGCTTAGTTTTTGTAAATTGTAGAGGAAAAAGTTAGTTTTACATAATGTTCCGGCTGGGAATCGAACCCTTGACCTTAGTGGTTGAGACACCTTGGAGACCGATGTGGTATCCAATCGACCACAGAGATCGTAAAACAATTAAAATTATTGTAGAAAATTGTTCTTTAAGCTGATCTTAACTCTTGATAAAGAAACGCGGGAAATAAGGTAGATTGTTAGGTATTGCAATACGCTGTAAAACTAAACAGCTTGTTTGTTGCCATATAGTCCTAGATGTTAAAAGCCATCGGGGCGTATACGTAACGCGATGGCTTGGCGTTAAAGCCCGTTCAATCAAGCAGCGAGTACTTCCTAGAACAGGGATTGCCAACTCTAGATATTAGGTATAAAATTATAATGACTGTGTATCCTAATAGTCGTTATTATAACAATGTATCATAGTCGTATTATTTTTCTAGATGTTAGGTATAAAATTATAATGACTATGTATCCTAACAGTTGTTATTATAACAATGTATCATAGTCGTATTATTTTGGAAATTCGATGAAATACTTTTAAGTGTTGAGTCAATTGAGTCATAATTATAAAGGACCTATCTATACTAGTCTATACTTAATATTATAAAGAGGAAAGATTTGTAAATAAGTATGTTTGTAACGAATTGGCTCAAAATGTACTAGACCGATTTTAAAAATTCTTTCACCATTTGAATGCTAAATTATCACTGATCAATATAGTCTATAGTGTATTTTCAAAAAGGTTAGGGTTCCGTATGAAAACTTCGATAATGTAACCCAACGTGTGTAAAAAATGGCCTTATATCGCGTACGCTGCGGAAGTCATTGACAATGGAGCAAAGTGATGTACCAAAGTTTTATAGAGGATACCAATATCTACAAAACAGTTTGGGATACCATATGTCTAACTATTACAGTTATGTCATAACTAGAGGTCCCAGCGGTTTCACTCGCGTTAATTTAATGAGAAGGTTTATAGTGAGTCAAACTGAAAATATGGACATAGGCTGTCGTGGACTTATTTACAGAACTTTTAAAGGGGAAGAATTCTGTTATACATGATTTTTATGTAACTTTAACCGTTTACGCAGCGCTTGCAACGGGATATCACAAGTGGAATATTTTTACCCGTTTTTGCAACATTTTTCATCGATGCTCCGCTGCTACTGGTCGTAGCCTGGTAAGATATAGCCTATAGCCTTCTTCTATAAATGCACTGTCCAATACAAAAATATTTTTTTGAATCGGATCGGATCCTAAACTCCGCAACGAATTTTTTACTTGGAATGGAAGGTTTATAATTATTATGAAGAAAGTCATTGTGTATAAAACAAGCCTTTGAACATAAACTATAGTCTACACTTCAGCTCTACACCGAAGCAGAGCGAGGGCGGGACACTTATATTTAACTAGCGGCCCGCCCTCGCTTCGCTTTGGTGTAGAGCTGAAGTGTAGACTACAATTTTTGTTTTCAGGCTTATATTATACACAATGTCATTCATCTATGATTCTTCTTATACCTGCATGCAAAGTCCCAGCCCGATCGGTTTAAAATTGACAAAGTTTCATACAAATTTTCATTCCCTATTTTATTCCCTTGGGGGTAGAATTGATCAAAATCCTTTCTTAGCGGATGCCTACGTCATAAAATCTACCTGCTTGTCAAAATTTCAGCCCGATCCGTCCAGTGATTTGGGCTGTGCGTTGACAGATCACTATGTCAGTCAGTCACCTTTGAGTTTTATATATATAGATATAATTATAACTAGCGGGCACCATCGCTTCGCTTCGGTGTAGAGATGTAGTGTAAACTATAGTTTTTGTTCTTCAACTTGTGTTGTACACTTCGATCAAGTATCGATGATCGAAGATTATATCCAATGACTTTCTTTATATACCGAATTACTATAGACACGCACCGCCGGATTTCATGGTGTCGTCGACTCGAGAGGTCTCTTCTGGGTTCGAATCCCGGTGGGGGCAGATGTTTGTGTGATGAATACGAGCATTTCCACTCCAGTCACGGATGTTTGATATGTATTTGTATATAAATATATTTGTATATGTATTCTATCCGTTACCCTAGTATCCCATAACACAAACCTTACAGTGCTTAATTTGTGGCTAGGCTAATTGGTGCGACTGTTGGAAATATTTATTTATTTATTATTCGATACAGTTGTATGCGTCTTTTTCGGCGGACAAAAGTACCGCGGACAAAAGTCCTTCCATCTGCGCAGACTTTTAGCTATACAAACATTTTCAGAACATAAAAAAACGAGTGTGCTTATGACCACACGACTGCAGTGAAACTTCTTTAGCTCCATCTGTATGTATATTGTATGTGTATGTACAATATATACTTGTATGTACATATACATATTTCATTTACTAGCTGTAAGAGAAAGAGAGAAAGAAAATGTGTGCGCGCACTGCTTTCTCTTGCTTATATCCCCCACTCAACTCCCGTTCGTCTCGCCCGAACACACTTTTCGTAACGCGTAACAGCTTACTCCCCAAGTCAAGCGTGCGTAAAGAAATTTCACTTCAAAAAGTTTGGATAGCTTGTAAACGTAGCTAATAACTATAAATTTTGTATTCTATTCATATTTTTTTTATTGGCAGATCGACATGAATAAAATTAAGTGTAAAGCTAGTGATTTAAATTAGCAACACAAGAAGTAAATGATATAGGTACAGAATCATCATCATTAGCCTATTAATGTTTATTTATTATTCATATACATATATGTACATACATATATACATCCACTGCTGGGGCACAGGCCTTCCCTATGGATGGAATAGGGAGATTGGGCCATGACCCACCACACGGGCCTAGTGCGGATTGGTGGGTGATAACGACTGCAGATGCAACCGGGACCAACGGCTTAACGTGCCTTCCTAAGCACGGAGGAGCTCGAGATAGTAAATTTTTGGTCACCCATCCAATGACCGACCACTGCGAAAGTTACTTAACTTCAACGATCGCAGCCGAAAGCGCTAACCAGTTGCGCCATCGAGGTACGGAATAGTAACGTTATATTGGAATTACTCTGTGTAGTGTTAAATTAAGTATAAATAGTAGTATGAACCCTTTGTGTGAGAGTTTGATTCATTCTTGGTTAGTTTCACGAGCAATAACAACTTTAAGTGCAACGATTGCACTTACTGTACTTAGGTGAGTGTTTGCAAGAACAAAGTGCATCAATTATGTTTTTGCCCAATCATTGAGTGGTTTTTCATTAGGTGTGAGTAGAGTTATAAACCAATACAGAATAATCTCACTAATCCGGCACTATTAAAAACCGGAGGGTGCCGGATTATTGGAATGTTCGGATTAATGGATTAAAGTGAAAAAGTCGTAGGTAACGAATAAAATAAAGCATTTCTTAGATGGAATAAATGTATCTAATGTATTAATTTAACAAGTACATACATATGGAGATACATAGTTTTAAAATAATCCTTAATTGAGGTCTGCTTTTGTGCAACTTGTAGTCCTTGCTTAAAAACATTTTATCGCATATTGCGAAGAATTATAATATCTTTGGCAGACATGCCGTTTTCTTCTGCCCATGTTAAGCAGGTATTGAAACAAATCAAATGCTTTTATGGGTAAGTTCAGGGCCGGATTTAGAGGTCCAGAGGCCTCGGGGCAGCAGAGGAGCGGAGGCCCCGTCACCCCAAATTATTTTCCAAATAAAGTAAACAATTTTTTTTCAGTCGAGTTTTTCAATAAATAATTTATTGTGAACCAAGTAGATTCCCTTAGTATTGAACAAACACATATAAATATAAACGGAAACAAGAATTATCTGAAAGTAAATCTTAGAGTTAACGAACGGAACCTTTCGAACTTTTTTCGCCGAAAAATCGTTGATGATTTCGTTGAAATCAAGTTCTCGGAGTAAAGGTAAAAGAGCAAAAAAAAATATCAAAGGAAAAGATGTTTACTAGTGTTTACTAGTTGGACTTTGAAAGATTTTTTTTTCCGAAGTCTCTATTGTGGGGGCCCCCCGTTTGTGGAGGCCCCGGGGCTTTCGCCCTGGTTGCCCTTCCCTAAATCCGGCAGTGGGTAAGTTGGATCTTTTCATAAACTTCTTGACTTCTGGGACAAAGTCATTAAGAAACCATTCGCTGAATACTTCTCTCGTGACCCAACTTCTACTTTGATTCTTGTAGCAGACTGGCAGACAAATGTTCTTGAAAGCTCTGGAATTTTTTTCTTTACCAATCACTGACAAATCCAAGCGCACAGGTGTAGAGGGGCGAGGGAGGCATGGGCGGAGGGTGCCGGATTATTGGACGTGCCGATTTATCAAAGTGCCGGATTAGTGAGATTATACTGTACTATTAATATCTACACTAACAATCAGTTCTATACAAATG